ACTGTATATTATAACTCAAAACAGTATTTTATGTCCATTTATGTATTTATTTTTGTTTTAGTTAGTTATTATTTTGTTTAGTTATTTAGTTATTATTCTTTATTATATTCTAATGTTTATTATATGATGTTGTTTTTAAAGTATGTATTGCATAATAAATAAATAGTTAAATAACATTTAAATAAATCTTTACATTTCTTTTTCTATGTTTTAGTTACCACAAACAGTGCAGTAAATATGTTATTTTTACCTGGTGGTTAATAGATAGTAACCATAGCAACAGGAATCAGGATTAAGATCATAGTCACATGAAAAATCACAACAAACAGAAATACTGTAGTTATTTATGTTGCATTTTAGATCAGAAATATATCACATAAAACTAGTGTTTTTAAAATCTACAAGCTACAGTAAGTGACATTTGGCTTAGGGCCACCAAAAACAATTTGATTTGCACAAGATGAACCTCAACAGATCGGAGACCAGAGATTTCTAATAAAAAGCTGATGCCCAAGTCATTATGTATTTTGCACACTGCTTTTTCACAGTTAACTTTTATAGCGCATTAACTTGCAAAATGACATTACGAAATGTCAAGTTTACCATCACAGCTGTCATGCTGAAATATCTGGACATATGCCAGTGATGTTTATGTAAATGTGCTTTGTATGGTAACCACGAGAGAAATAATATGCCTATAGGTTAAACTGTAGCTGTATGGTCAGTTCTTGAAATAACATCTTGAAGAAAGGCTCAGCAAATACATTTTCAACACAAGCGGTTGACTAATTCCCCCCGTGAACACAAAGACTGGATATTCACAGCTGGTCCGAATTCTTTTTTGCACAAACGTGTTTGTAAAAAGGGTCCAACTCATTATTATAGTGATTTGTCGTTCATTTCAGAAACGCCAGCAAGACTTTTTACTTCAGTAATTGGAAATATAGCAATGTTAGGACATATGTTAGTTTTGAAAATAGAAAAATAATGAGAACAAAATCGCAACTTTCTGGTGTGCCGTTTTATAGCACCTGCGGTACTTTCTCAGTTCTAATGAAATGGTAAAATAAAGCAAAACTGTTGTTTCTGAATTTCATAATATCTCTGTATGTTTGTTATCACAGATATTGATGATTGTCAGTCCAATCCATGTCAGAATGGAGGCACCTGCATTGATGAAATCAACTCTTTCGTATGCCTGTGTCTGCCCAGCTATGGTGGAGCAACCTGTGAGAAAGGTAATAAAATAGCACATATGTGCACTTGCATGCAAATGATGAAATATATGGCATAAAAGAAATTATGGACGTGGGGGAAGTTCCTGATCTGGTTGTGATCTGGAATAAGCGGCATCTTTTTAAACAAATCTTTTTAAACATTTTAATTTTAGTTGTTTAGTTTGTTTCATTTCTTTTTATGTGCTTTTGTCATTTTAGTCATTTTTATTTCAGTTTTAGTTTGTCATTTTAATACTTTAATTTTGTTTTTTAGTTGCCAAAAAAACCTTATTTTAAAATATGAAGGGATGAATGAATGAAAGGATGATGCGATGGATGGATGGATGGATGGATGGATGAATGAATGAAAGGATGAAGGGATTGATGGATGAATGGATGGATAGATGGATGGATAGATGAATGGATAAATTAAGAGATGGTTGGATGAATGAAGGGATGGATGGATGAATAAAGGGATGAATGGATGAAGGTTGGATAGAAGTTTCCACAGAGTGATGTTAGTTAAAATAGCACATATGTGCACTTGCATGCAAATGATGAAATATATGGCATAAAAGAAATTATGGACGTGGGGGAAGTTCCTGATCTGGTTGTGATCTGGAATAAGCGGCATCTTTTTAAACAAATCTTTTTAAACATTTTAATTTTAGTTGTTTAGTTTGTTTCATTTCTTTTTATGTGCTTTTGTCATTTTAGTCATTTTTATTTCAGTTTTAGTTTGTCATTTTAATACTTTAATTTTGTTTTTTAGTTGCCAAAAAAACCTTATTTTGATATATGAAGGGATGAATGAATGAAAGGATGATGCGATGGATGGATGGATGGATGGATGGATGAATGAATGAAAGGATGAAGGGATTGATGGATGAATGGATGGATAGATGGATGGATAGATGAATGGATAAATTAAGAGATGGTTGGATGAATGAAGGGATGGATGGATGAATAAAGGGATGAATGGATGAAGGTTGGATAGAAGTTTCCACAGAGTGATGTTAGTACAAATTAGCATATACACAGCATATATTTTGAAAATATTTACATGAATTTACATGTATATATTTATATTCATATAATTTATATCATGTATAAATATATTTAATATATAAACGGAACAAATTTTCCTAAATATATACATGCATGTGGGTGTGTATTTATATATACATAATAAATATACACAGTACAAACACATATTATGTAAACAAAAACTTTTATTTTGGATGCGATTAATCGTGATATATATATATATATAAATATTAGGGATGCTCCGATCAGGATTTTTGCAGCCGATACTGAGTACCGATTTCTTGGTGATCGGCCGATATCGATTCTGATGCTTCAAGCTTTATATAGACGGTTTCATCGGGCGCACGCGCCTGGCCCGAAATTAACTTCCGGTGTGTGTTTGCTTAGCAGTCTGGCTATGGCACCTGCTATAAACGCAGTTAAAGTTAAGGCGATGAGTAGACTGAAGTTGGGCTCAGGTGGTTGTGTTGTGGGATGTGTTTCCCATACATTTATTTATTTGTGGCGCTCGCCACAATATCAAAGCTGACGGATTTTCCAAAAGGCTTCGATGAATAAACATGAGCACGTTTAAATATCAAAACGAGGCGCGGTGTTTTTATATCACTGTATTTCTGAAGGAAGACTATCTTTAGAAAATTTTCGATGTCATTTTCATTTAATCTTGCATGCTATATGCCTGATAAAGCAGCGTTTGTGAGCTCAGCGCTGCTGTGTGTACAGCCGTTACTGGGGAAAGCTCAGTTTCTCCCACTTTAAAGCACCTCCTGCTGGCAGAGAATTAATTAGCATTTTCAGTAAGTCCGTCTGATTTATGCAGCAAACATATTTTGCTTTGCCTATATCCACGGGCACTGCGGATAATCCGCGGGTCGGGTAATAAAAATTGCATTCTGATTATTTGCGGGTGGGTCACGGGTGGATAAAATAAGTCATAAATGGTGCAAATATTAACTACATTTTTTTAAATAAATTTTTTTCATGAGGCAGACGATTCCATGTGTGTGTGTTCGTTCGCCTGATCGGGAAGTTGCAGTGACAGAAACAGTGACATTTAAGATAAAGTTTGAAAGGAGTAAAGCCTGTGTTAATGCTATTGAGTAGGCTAATATGGCCAAAGAAGATATTTTGTTTTATAAATAATGTTAAATGTACATTTAAAAGCAGCCCATGATCAGCGTATAATGTTACCGTTATCCCTTATGGCTCCAACGAGGTTTTGTTCCGTCCTCCACGCTGTGACAACTCACAAAAGACTATTTTTAGCCAAACAGCGCGGAGAGCCGCTTCAGAAATGTGCCACGGCTGGCTCATAAACACAAGCACTGACTAGAGCGGCCGCGATCAGCTCCGGTAGCCGTGGAGCCTTAACACGCCGCAGACGTGTGCAGTGAGGTGCAGATCAGTTCTAACGTCACTGAATCGGCTGTTAAAAATGAACAATCTATTTATCATATCATCATGCAAAACATACACGGCAAATAGCGAATTTTTCATTGTTTCTCGAAACGTCATAGCATTTCCACACCAGCGATGACATGACTGTGGCGCCAAATCATTGATGTCCCCACGCATCATGTACTTCGTCATCAAATTGCGATCGGTTCGTGAGATCGGCCAAGTGTAGTGAGTACCGATCGAGTCTTAAATTGTGATTATCGGCCGATACCGAAGATCCGGAGTATCCTTAATATATATATATACAGGGTATGATTTGCTGAGGGGGATGGGGGATTTCCCCCAAACATACACGGCAAATAGCGAATTTTTCATTGTTTCTCGAAACGTCATAGCATTTCCACACCAGCGATGACATGACTGTGGCGCCAAATCATTGATGTCCCCACGCATCATGTACTTCGTCATCAAATTGCGATCGGTTCGTGAGATCGGCCAAGTGTAGTGAGTACCGATCGAGTCTTAAATTGTGATTATCGGCCGATACCGAAGATCCGGAGTATCCTTAATATATATATATACAGGGTATGATTTGCTGAGGGGGATGGGGGATTTCCCCCCCCCCCTCTGGTTTATGCATCCCTGCCTCTGCTGAATTATTTTTATCCCCAGTGGGGATAAAAACATCCTGCGATCTCGCTTCGAGGTCCCGATCTTACTCAAATGATTCGCGATATGCGCTTTGAAGTCCCGAATCAAATGATTTGCGATCCGCGATCCGAATAGAGCACTTTCAAACAGTGAATTATTTTGCGACTCAATGGTTTAACTGATTCGGAGTTTCAAAAAGCTCCGTTGATACTTTGTTCTTTGCTCGCTTTCTCTATATAATTTATTCAGTGCTTGAAAAACCGTGGAAATGAAATCATTACAATTAATAGGCCTAACTTACAATGTTTGTAATAGATTAATTGTGATCAAGTTAAATACAGTTCCCGTCGTATTAAAAACATTTCATGACATGTCACCCATTATATGGTAGTCCTACTTGCCTAAAAAGACGGGTTTATGATGTGCATTATTAACAGATTACACTAACATTAGATTACTTAGGCTACAGCCTTACCCTTACCTTCCACTTATGGAGAGAGAGAAAAGTTTTCAAAAGCATCCCCTCCTCTGCTTTTTTCACAAATCGCACCCCTGCGGCCCAGTCTCCGAAGGGAGGGGATCGTGCTCTGCTTCAGTATGTCACAGTACATGTTGGCATTTATGGTTCCCTCAATGAACTGTAGCTCCCCAGTGCCGGCAGCACTCATGCAGGCCCAGACCATGACACTCCCACCACCATGCTTGATTGTAGGCAAGACACACTTGTCTTTGTACTCCTCACCTGGTTGCCGCCACACACGCTTGACACCATCTGAACCAAATAAGTTTATCTTGATCTCCTCAGACCACAGGACATGGTTCCAGTAGTCCATGTCTTTAGTCTGCTTGTCTTCAGCAAACTGTTTGCGGGCTTTCTTGAGCATCATCTTTAGAAGAGGCTTCCTTCTGGGACGACAGCCATGCAGACCAATTTGATGCAGTGTGCGGCGTATGGTCTGAGCACTGACAGGCTGACCCCCCACCCCTTCAACCTCTGCAGCAATGCTGGCAGCACTCATACGTCTATTTCCCAAACACAACCTCTGGATATGACGCTGAGCACGTGCACTCAACTTCTTTGGTCGACCATGGCGAGGCCTGTTCTGAGTGGAACCTGTCCTGTTAAAGGGCTGTATGGTCTTGGCCACCGTGCTGCAGCTCAGTTTCAGGGTCTTGACAATCTTCTTATAGCCTACGCCATCTTTATGTAGAGCAACAATTATTTTTTTTAGATCCTCATAGAGCTCTTTGCCAAGAGGTGCCATGTTGAACTTCCAGTGACCAGTATGAGAGAGTGAGAGCGATAACACCAAATTTAACACACCTGCTCCCCGTTCACACCTGAGACCTTATAACACTAATGAGTCACATGACGCCGGGGAGAGAAAATGGTTAATTATCTGATATGTGAAATTGGAATTTCAACTAGTAAGAAATCAGTTCTTGATATCAACAATTGATTTTGAATGGCAGCCTATGGTGACATTTAACTAGTGAAAATACAATTACAGATATCAAGAATTATAGTTTTTACTAGTTGAAAAGTAATTGTTGATATCAAGAATTAACATTGTTACTAGTGGAAATGTAGTTGCTGATATCAAAAATAGCATTTGTTACTAGTAGAAATCTAATTCCTGATATCAAGAATTAACATTTTAACTAGTGAAAATGTAATTGTTGATATCAAGAATTCATATCCTGAGAATGAATAAAAGTCAAAACGGCTTGCCATAGTACACTCACTACTTTACATTGTAGCAAAGTGTCATTTCTTCAGTGTTGTCACATGAAAAGATATAATAAAATATTTACAAAAATGTGAGGGGTGTACTCACTTCTGTGAGATACTGTATATATATATATATGTTTATATATGATGGCATATTGATACTTAACTAGCTGAGTAAACCACAAACAAGTTC